GCTAGATGTAAATTTGGGAGGTACAACTCCACATGTTGGATAATCGGAGCATCGAGACTTGATGTTCGGTAATTTACTATGGAACATCTGGTTAGACCGCAATGCTCATATTTTTTAGGCTAATATTATGCGGCCTGGATCGGTTGAAATCCACAGCAAGTTGATGGTGGACATGTGGATGCGAGCTAAGATAGCAGAACTTGGCACCACCTGCTGCTCCCCGACAAAATCGTGAGGTAATCAGATGGTCCCCACCTCAGGGATATTGGGTGAAAATTAACTCGGACGGAGCGAGAAATGCGACTAATGGATATGATTCTTGTGGAGGAGTCGCACGGAATGTTGATGGTAATTGGTGTTTTGGTTTTGGATGCGGAGGGAGCTTACCATAGCCTTGTCTATGCTTGGGAAACAAGATTCCGTCATATTGTTCTTGAACTTGATAGCATGGAAGCCATTCGAGTATTGCGGAAGGATTATAAGGGCACTTATTTTCTGAAAATAGCATTTAGACGAGCTTCACAATCGTAATCAGGAGATTGTGATCAAGTATATACCTCAGGACGGCAATAAAGTGACCGATGCTTTAGCTAATCATGCTCGGAATGATATCATGGAAGTTGTATTTCTACCAGAACCGCCTTCGTGGATTTCTTCGATTCTTAATGCGGATATTGATCCTCGGCATCCCATTGATGGTGATGACGCCAGTTGTACTTATTGATGTTAGTTTGTGTACTTTTTCCCCCAATTAAGTTAGGGATATTTTTAATGAGACCCATTTTAATATCCTATGTATGATCTCTTCTTAATCATATAGTTTCACCAAATATATATATAATTTTAAATAGAAATATGAATAATCCGATTCCACTCGAAAATTTTTAAATAAAATTTAAATTATAAAATAAGACTCATCAACTCGAATAATTAAATTTAACTAAACTCGACCAAACGCTTAACTCTAGTTAGATATGTGGATCCTACTTTCTTGCTCAACTTGGTGTCTCAAATAATTTAAGTATAATTGTATTATTAAAACTAAACTTTTAGAAAGAATAATCACACAAAAATATATTGAAATTGTTTTCATTTTTAAACAAAAATAATTTATTTAATATATAAATAATATATTTCGGTGTGCAATATTAAATTTATATTTTTCATAAAAATAAACTTTTAATTGTATTTCGCCGTCTCATTGGTCTGAGAAGACGATGCTCGATCCGCCCTTATGCCTTCCACTTGATTAATGATAATTTTACCATTTTAGTTTATTAGAATTTGAATTAATTCAATTTAATCTCAATTAACTCTTCAATTAATAAAAAGTCATGTTTTTCGGATCTTTCTAATAATTAATAATCTAACTAAAAAAATTAATGCAAAAAAAAAAAAGATATCTAAACACTTTTTATTTGGGCAAACTACACGTTTGCTACTTAAAATATCAGACGTAGTTCGTTTTAGTACTTAAACTTTTAATTTTTTTAAAATTATACCTAACATTTTATTTTTATTTTATTTTAATATTCTGTTAAAAACTTAACGTTAAGTTAAAAAAATTTAAAAGTTTGTGTATTAAAACGAACAAAAATTGATAGTTTATGTACTAACGCGTTAATTTTTAACACGAGATACTAAAATGAAACATAAATTAAACGTTAAGTATAATTTAAAAAAAATAAAAATTATATATTAAAAAGACAAAAAAATTATAGTGTATGTACTAAACATTGTTTACTCTTTTAATTTCTATCTCAACCCAAGCCAAATTCGGTTGCCATCCGTATTAGATGCTGAAAATTTTCTTTTAAATGCCACGAGCGACCCGGTCCAGTCCGGTCGGGTCCCAGTTGTATTATTAAGGCCTGCTTAGTTTTTGCTTGTAAAGGCCCGAACCCGATTTTCTTCTAGCTCCTCAAATTAAGAAGCTGAACGATCGCGATTAGAAAATTCGAGAACATTGAGCGAGATCGGAGATGGCAGCTTCTACGTTGTGGCTCGTTTCCATCTTCTCCATTTTGTCCATGGCCGCTTGCATCGACGACAAATGTGCTGCATGCAATGCCGTCGCGGTAATAATGGAAACCGTTGATCACATATGCTGTTTCACTCGCAGTCAAATTCACCGATTCCATTTCCGTTTTTTTCCCTTCATATTTTTGAAAATATCAACTGACTTTTTTTTTGTTTCGTTGGATGATTTGCAGGCAGAGCTAGAGATTCAACTGTCAAAGGTACGGGCTAATCTCCCATATACATATACCTTTAAATCAATGCCACTTTCTGCAAATTGAGCTGTAATTGGGTAATTAATACAATAATTTTATATATGTAGGAGAAACCCAGGAACCATTTGGATATGAGACATCGTTTGGATTCGAAAGGTCAACGCCAAGGGAAGGTTATTGATTACAGGTATAACCATTTTCCTGTGTGGGGGGGGGGGAATCAACATTGCTAATTTTTTTTCGGATACCTAGTCTCTATCAAATTTCTTTATTGTAGAAATTGAACTAAAAGAGCTTCCCGTCTATCTTTGATCCCGGGCTTAGCGCTGAAGATCAATGACGAACTGTATGATACAGTAGGAGTAAAATGAATGAAAGATCTAACAGGGTAGTAAATGGAAACAGTGAAATTAAGTGGGAAATTGAGCAACGAACATCAAATTATTAATATGGAAATCACATATCACAATTATTTGCTGGAAATTGGGGAGAAAGTTGATAATTAACTTTTTAACAATGACAAATGGTTGACATTTTCGATATTAACAACGGTTCAGGTCCGACATTTGAGATTTGTACTTTTTACGGCCACTAGGAGTTTGTTAACAAGTGTCATAAGGGTAAATATTAAGGTGATCATGTTAGGTGAGCAGTCTTAAATAAGAGCCCTAACTGCTCTTTTTAGTAAACTAACACAAAATGATGACTTTTTTGGCTATATTTTAAACAATGAGTTTCAAAGGGAGATTTTCAACTAAAGCATTTCTATTTGATGGGTGGCACAAGTTTACTGTTACTTTGACCTTTTGGATTGATGGAGATTGCATGGGTATAGCAAGCAGGGATGCAAACTTTTCATCAATGTTTAATAACCCTGTATAAGTGATATCTTTGCTAAAATTTTATTTTTGTTTTAATTAGGATGAGTGAACTTAGAGCTGTTGAACTATTGGATGGGCTTTGTGAGAATATGCAAGATTACACTCTTGAAAAGGTAGCTCTTCCTTGGACTCGATATCTTCCTTGTGTTTATTCACAGGTGAATTCATCTTTAAACATGATGTTATGTTTTCCTTGAAATTTAACTGGCTATCTTGTAGCAACTATGCTGTCAATATAATTATTATCATGTAGTAACAGCTACTGAACTTGTGGCAGCATTGAACAATATGCAAATGTATAGGAACCGCAACTATGTTCATATGCAAACTGTTCATATTCTCCCATATCTGTTTTATAGTTGTTTATGGTTTATGACAGCTTATATCGGCATGCAAGTGCATGTTATTTCATATCTGTTTTATTCATTTATTTTGCAGATAGATTCAACTCGACGTGAGTGGATCAAAGTGGATAACTGGGACATTCTCACTATTGGTATGGGTCATTTTGTTTTTGTTATTATTACTACTTTTTGGGGCAGTGACAAGTACAAATATGGTTGGTGCATCATAAAACTAGCTGGTGAAGGCCCCTTGATCAATCACAACCACTATTAGAGACTGAAATCACTCCAAATGTGATTAGTCCCTTAATTGTATTTCGGGCTAAAAAAATCAAGGACTTGATCTTTGGTTCATACATTTGGATATATTGTTAATTTATGAAGCATAAGTTGCACATGCATGTGCATATGCCATCTCTCTGATGGTTTTACTTGGTATCTCTAGGATTCCTGTATTTCTTCCTGACCATTAACCGAGCCATTGTTTTCTATACTTTCATGTCACTAGGTACTTCTATGTTTATCATGTCCTTGGAGATGCTGTTAGTTTCTCTTTCTTTTTGTTTTAATAGTCCATTTGTTTCTTAAGTTCTAATTTCTAAAGTCTTTCCCCATTTTTACATTTTAATTTATTGATAGGTAAGCAAGAAGCTAAGGCATACTCGAAAGATATATCCTCTTATTGTGGACGGTGAGACTGCATGGAGTTTTCACTATTCCTCTGATCAAGTGTCATTTATGATTTTTTTATTTCTTTGGCAGTAGTTTTTTTATATTATATAATACAAATGCCAGCTATATTATAATAACCAAGTCCATATTTGTTATGGTATAGGTTACTGGAGGAAACTGAAGATGAGGTGAATTTTCAATCTTGCTTATCATCCTAATGCATACCTGAAATATTAATTCTTACTTCTATCAAACTCATGCAGTTAACAGAATTGATAAAGACAGGATCTGTTAAGCAAGGAGAAGTAAGCAAACTTCTATGCGAAGATTTGAGTGAGCACTGCAGCGACTCAAGGTATCCATGATTTTATTTTTCTATTTCCTCTATTTTCAAGAAACCAGTTCTGACTCCATCCTAAAAGTCTACTTCTGTGACACTTGCACTAGCACTAGCACTCATTGGAAGGTTTCTGGTGTTCTGACATTAACACTTATTTGTATGCAGTGATAGCAATTCCGATTCCGATGCTGATAGTAATGATGAACTATAGACCATCAGAGTCATCGTGGTTCAGCATAAGAAGAGATTTAATGGGGGGAAAAAAGTTTCCATGCGTTGCAGCATTACTGAAACGTGACTATTTAATTGAGAATTATTTCTGTAACTTCAAACAAAATTTTGCTCTTTGGACCATGTTGAGACCTTTCTGGAACTTCAAATAAGATATCACTTTTTGGAAACTGTAAGGAAACTGAATTCACTGTTTAATTGAGACTTTTTTCTGTAACTTGAAACAAAAATTTTGCTCTTTGGACCATTTTGAGACCTCTTTTTGGAGTTTTAAATAAGATTCCACTCTCACCCATTAATGGTCAATGATATCAATTATTTAGTGAAAGAGTGCTAAACATCTGTCAAGATTCAGTTTATTTACACAGGAGTAAGAAGACGATGGAAGAAGAAAGAAATAACGTATCCTGCAAATCGGAGGTACAAAATAAGATATCTCAGGTGTACAGGATTTGAAAAGCTCCAAAAGAATCATTTTCTACATGACAAGGATGTCTCTGAATGAAGGATGAATATCAGCCATGGTGAATGGGGGCAGCTACTCACTAGAAAAAAATGCCACGACTATTTTGCCCTCCGATGTGTTCGTGTACAAATCTCTTTTGACCATCCCGTGTCATCAGTTACAGTCCAGCACACCCTTTAGTAAATTCAGCCCTTCCGATGATATGATGCTCCGAACAAGTGTTTGTGGTATTTCTATTTGAGGGGGAGGATCGACAGAGAAACAAACCACGATCACTGTTAAATTATCACAAGTATTCCGCTTCAATGCCTCCCTCACAAGCTCTCTTGAGCATCTTTCGGGATCGTTGTGAAGCATCAGCTCTTTCCTCGCCATGGTCACGGCACACTGGCTGCTCATAACATCCCACAACCCATCACAGCCCATTATCAAGAATTCATCCGCCTCACTCAAGTCCATCTCCTGCAGCTCCGGCTCTGAGCTTAAGGGACAGGCAGATCCTTTTGGCCCCTTCATGTGCCAATCTCCAAGTGCTCGTGCGACGGATAATTGGCCATTCAGGTAGCCATCATAAATTACTCCGCCAAGTTTCTCAATTCTTATTCTTTCGGACGTGCAATTAGGTTTGTGGTCCTTGGACATTTCAATTGCTCTACCTTGCCTTCCCAGCACAGCTCGACAATCCCCGGCATTTGCAATTAACAAGGTCCTTCAAACAGATACTAACGTTAGAAGAGGATTCATGGAAATAACATCCAAAAATGAATAATACCATTGCAGAACCGTGGCTCTCACTTACCTTCCGAAAATAAGAGCGGTTAACGCAGTGGTGCCGGAGGATATATCAAGAGAACTAGCATCTGCAAAGGCATAATCAGCTTTCAGAAAAGCACTCTTGATTGCCTTCTCCAGACAAATCGGAAAGTGCGCATCTTCAACTATGAATTTAAGTATATTTTCCCTTATAAACACTGCTGCATCTGTTCCTCCATGACCATCAAAAACCTGTCCACATGTATTTGAAAGGTTCAATTCACTAGTATGACCAGTTTTTTTTTTTTGATAGAAGATGAGGCCTCATTAAGATTCCTAAAGCAGCTTCCAAACTAATTGTACACGTAATATAACTGACGTGTTTAGATACTTTAACCTTATAACTAAAGCATCAAGTTATAACGAGGCAGCCGATATAAGAGAAAAGAATGCTAGGAGAAAAAAAAGACTAGAAAGCTGGCATCCTTTTTCTTTTCGGCCTGGACACGAGTTTTTCACCACAGACTAGAAACCGTGATGGATAGAAGGAGGTGCATAAATCAGACCACATAAACTAAGATAGTTCAAAACAAGCATACCCCGTAGAAAGCTCCTGGAGAAGGGAACTTAGCAGTTGTCTCCAGATGACCAAGAAGATCATCTATGCAAATGTGCTCATCTTCCATATACTGTTTGGGCCCTATTTCGGCGCAGCTCCCTGATCGCAAGAGGGGCAAAAACTTGCTTTTTTCATTGGAAGATGACTTGTGAACTACAATACCAACGTCCAATTCCTAGAGAAGAGAAAAGTGGTAAGTAAAAGCATTTCACAGGATGATGTGTGAGGAAGTAGAAACACACCATCTGGAATCTAGCAGAAAACACTTTCCGGTAGCTAATTCCTAAATGTGATTTTATGTTGTCACTTATGATACAACAGAGCATCAACTGAAAACAACAAAAACCCTTTCCCTTAGTGATGATTTTCAACAAAATATAAACAGGCTAATCCTTATTTTCTCCTAAAAACTCGATCAAATAGGATAAATGTTGAAACACAGAAGGTTATGCATCACAATTCACAAATGCAGATGAAAATGGTCATCACTAAGAGTCACCAGTATCCTCATGGAGCAGAATTATTAGTGAATTTTCCTTTTAAACTAGTAACTAAGCTGCACTCAGATTTTATGCTAGTATAGGAAGTCAAAGCTCAGGCTCCTACAATTCATAATGATCAAAAGAGATGGGTCAGGTTAGAGAAAAAGGATCAAACATACCAAATTAGCCTCAGCAATCGTCCTCCCTGACTGCTTAATCGAGAGGTGGCATGGAGGTTTCCCATGAGTGACTTGTTTTTCATTATCCAAATTCTCATTCTCCATGTCTGATACATTACCCTTAGTGTAACCACCTTCTACAATTGGAAATGGAGATGAAATATCTATACGTGCAGCCATATTCCTTTCTCAACCATATATCAACGACCTCGGAAGAACACTTTCAAGTTAAAGCAATATAAGAAAAAATCATCCAAGCAATAAAAAGATCTGGGAAAACCAGTTGGTCAAGGGAAGCTGTAAAAATTTTCAATCCAAGAGCAAGGAATGGAAGTCAACTCCCAGATCAAATTACTCTTCTGCAGATAGCATAAAAAAACTCAAAACTTTTTATGAAACTAAGCCCTTAAATTACCCTTGATAAAGGGGTCCAGCAAACCATGTAGAAGTTGGGCTCTTAAATAATAACTCGAAGCAGTTGGTAAAATTAAAAGAACACCAGATCATAACTCCAGAAACAAGAAATATTCGTTTCAAGAAGAAGAAAAAAAGATGATTAGAGCAATAAACAACAAGCTCCAGAGATTCGAGTAAAGCTGAAAAGAAAAGCTCACAAAGAGGGTGTAGAAATGATGGGCTTATCGGTGCTCGGCGTTTAATTTTTGTTCTTTGGTGAAATTGTAAGATTGGTCCGAAGGAGAGGAAGAAAACCCTGAAAACACACAGGGAAAGATAGAAGAAGCAAAAGGCGTCCAAAAGAGAGAATTGGATGATGAAAAAGAATGTAAATAAAAGATAAAAATTAAAGTTGTTGTTCCTCTGTTGCTATGCGGCTGGCCTCCGGCGATTCCAGGTAATCACAGAGGATGGCGTTCAGCCACGTGGATGTCAATTATTGGTGAGAACTCTAGGTTGTACCGGCTGGGCTACGTTTTAGTTTGTTTCCGCCGGAGCTTCCCAGCCGTTGGATCTCTACCTTGTTGATTCCTTCAACGCTTCTACTAAAGAGCATAGAGGTTAGGTTACCATTCCCGGGGTTGGCGTGGCTGCCTCTCATTGGATGGAGGTTGTTATCTATTAGGGGGTGTTTGGTTCAAGGATTGTGGGATTCCCACATTCCCATGTTTGGTTGGCCGGGAATCTCATTTCCGATAATATTTTATTACCGATATTAGATTTTTTGGGGTATATTATCGGGAATGTCATTACCTCCCTTCCCTTAGGTATTGTAACATTACCGGCGTTTTGGACTAAAATGCCCTTAAATTTTTATTTTTTTTCAAAAATATCATTCTTCTGTCATTGAATAATAAAAATTCTACGAATGTTAAATTATAAATTTATCCTTAAATTATTTTAGATTTACAAAAAAATTCTATAATTAAACTTTTATATGAAGTTCAGGGTTAAACAAAATTATCCTTTCATTAAACATTTTTTATATTTTTAATTTTGTAAAAAAATTATATAAATATTATGAATTTAATTTTTTAAAGAAAATATATAAATATTTTACAATTTGTAATATTATACAAATATATAATATGGACAATTTGGTCAAATATACATTCCAATAATCTTTTATTCCTTTAACCAAACACGGTAATCTTACATTCCTGCTAAACCAACCAAACACAAAATACAACATTCCCAGTAATCCTATTCCCTGGTAATATTTTATTCCTACTGGTAATCTTACATTCCGTGAACCAAACGCACCCTTAGGGTTAATGCCAAAATAAGTGTTCAATCTATGTCTTTTTTGCCACATAAGTGTGTACGGTTTTTTTACTCATTCGGGTATATAAAGTTACAAACGTTACCCTTTTAGGTACTCAAGTCGTCAACGCAGTTAGTTTTTCACGTTAAGTATCACGTGTCAACACCTGATAATTTTAAAATTTATTTAAAAAATTATTAAAAATATTATTATGTTTATAAAATAACCTTAATTTTTCTTATATTATAAAACAACCCCAAAATATTAAATCTTAACCTTAATCCACCGCCAGTGCCTTCTCCGACCACCACCGTCATCGCCGACGTAGTCCTTGACATTATCCTAGTTATATGTCGTTTAATTGTCATTGATTCGTCGTAGAAATCGCATGGGATCATGTTTTCCATCCTAGGACTTATGAGATTTAAAACGTTGATTTGTGGTCGATTGGTCGTCAACCAATCATGATTTCATAGGGGTTATGGTTGTCGGGAGAGGGAAGGTTGGGTGGAACTTCTTCGACGGTAAAGGGCGACGATCGACGTGGGTTTAGGGGTTGAAATGAAAGTTTTCAAATTTTAGGGGTTATTTCAAAATTTATGTTTTTTTAAAAAATATATATAATTTTATTTTTTAAAATTTAATATAAAATTTAAAAATTACCATGTGTTGACACGTGTCACTTAACGGGGAAAACTAACAGCGTTGACGACCTGAGCACCTAAAAAGATAATGTTTGTAACGTTAGGCACCCGGATGAGCCAAAAAAACCGTAGACACTTTTATTTGGCATAAAAGGAATAGTTTGGGCACTTATTTGGGAATTAAGCCTTACTATTATATAATTTTAGAACAAATAATTAAACATATATACAATAAATTAAAGGGTAATTTACGTGTTTAGTACCTAAATTATTAATTTTAGTATGTTTTAGTACATAAACTTTTATTTTTTTTTCAAAACTATACATAAAATTTAATTTTTATTTCATTTTAGTACCCCTGTTAAAAACTTAACTATAAATTTGAAAAAAAAAAGTTTAGGTATTAAACGTATTAAACGCATTAAGTTTTTAACGGTGATGTACTAAAATGCAACAAAAATAAATATTAGATATGATTTTGAAAAAATTAAAATTTTAGGTACTAAAACAAACCCAAAAGATAATGTAGGTACTAAATGCATAATTTATCCTAAATTAAAATTGATTTAAAAAAAATAAAAAAGTAACCCAAAATCGATTATATAATTATCAGTTTACTCATGTATATGTTAATTATTTATTATGCTTATTTTTGTTAGTAAAATATTGCATGATTATATTAGAGTGTTACGCAGAGTAAGATAAGAGCAAGCAACCAAGGCATTCATGCTCATAAAATTACCATAAGATAAACATATGTGTTAATATTTTATAAGGAGACATTATATTGTTAATATAAATAAATAAATTGTGTCACCTTTTGGTAATTTATCTTTATTAATTTAGATGAAGAACCGCAGCTGATGGTGATACGATAATTGGCTGATGTTGAGTTCTCTATCTTCATAAGAAGAAAGAGGAATAATTTATGCAAAATAATTTCAAACCATTTTTTTTGGTTAAGATATTTCATAGTGATCTTTAGTGTTGATATCATACGATTTGTAATGATGGTTTCTGTAATGCCCCATTTTTTGAGTTAGAAGTTATGTGTTAACCCGAGAGAAAATTAAATAAGCCTAATAGGTTTTTGAAAACCCATGTCCAATAATGAGGTGATTGAGCTTGATTGAGGCCCAATTAGTAGTAAAAAATTACTTTAATGATTTGGGGTTAAACTAAGAATGACCAAAATAGCAATTTACTCTATTGATTTCAAAATCTAAAAATCCTTAATTTGTATGAAGCCATTCACGTAGAAATTCTATATGTCTTTTTCCTATATCATTTGTCTTCTTTTCACCATCCCAACTTTTTTCTTTCTCATTCTTATGGTTAGGCAAAGGTGAAAACTTGTTAATCTTCATTCTCATTCTGGATTAGAGAATGTAAGAAATAGAATCCTCCTCCTCCAAGCTTCCATTCAAGCTCATCTTTTAGAGTTTTGGCCATGGAAGAGGTTTAGTGGGGGTTTATGGATTTTGGAGATCCTAAGAGGAATCTAGTTCATTTTAATGCTTAGAATCATGTTTATACCTCTCTTAAGTCTTATAGATAACTTCTAGTAACTCAAAAATTTGATTGTTCTAGTGAGAGAAATGTGTGAGAGCTCAAAGAGGAAGAAAAAGAGAAAGAAGTGCTTAGGTGAGCTTGAGGTTGTTCTTACAACTCTTAGGTGTAAGGTAACACACTTCTAACCTTTCATTACTTCTTATAAAGTTGCATGTGTAGTTTTGGTGCTTGTATGAGTCTATGAAGTATTTGGGTGAATTTGGGGGCTTAAATCATGAAAAAGAGAATTTGTTGTTGTTCATGCATAAATTGGTGACCTTTTATGACCCTTAAATACTAAATAAACTTTAAAAACCATTTGGGTGTCTTGGGGACTCTTTAGGAGAGTTTTGGAAAGTTTTAGACGAGTGAAACAAAGTTTTCTGGGAATATATGGGCAAAAATACAAAAGGTTTTGTGAGGAAAGTATTGAGACCCCATCAAGGAGTACAAATATAGTTCAAATGGTATCGATACTTGGGGCCTAGTATCGGTACTCAGGGATTTGATCAGATTCTAGTAAGCCATTTTGGTATTGGTACTCATGGGAGTATCGATACCTCGAGTAGAGTATGTATACTCTCATATGGGGGTATTGGTACTGAGGTATTTTTTAAAGCATCAAAGGTAAAATTGGTATCGATACTCGGGGAAGTATCGATACCCTAGAAGATGAAGTACCGATATATGAGGGGGAGTATCAGTATCATCATGAATTTTTGGGCTATAAGGTAAGCTTGAATTCGAAGGATGAAAGAAGGGTTTTGGGTTGAGGAAAACCTTACAATAAGATTACAAGTGAAAACCTTAATAATTGTGTGATAATATAAGATCTTTATGAGGTAAGATTCCATAAGAGTTATGCCTTGCTTGATGTTCGGGATAACATTAAGGGCACTTGAGTTACTCATGCTCGACGTTAGTATAATTGAGTTGGGGATTATTTGGATATATCCAAGTCAGTGTTTGGACACTTTAAATACTTGTTGGATGTTGTGTCGATGCTAAGTGGCCCAGCCATATACCGAGTACTCTAGAGGAGTAGACTAGTCGGGTAAGGTTTTGATGCTATGTGACTCGAACCTAGCTCGAATGATAGGGAGCCCAGGTCTCACCTAAGGTTATTTAGTAAGCAAAGAGGGGTGTGATGCTAAGTGACCCCGAGCTACACCATGATGCTTACTTTTGTTGTTATGATTGTGTATGCAAATGTTAATAATCATACTTGTAGCATGTATATATGTTGGATTCATGTAGTAAAGTAGGGTTCCGTGTATGGAATTGAGCTTGTGAGATCAGTGTATGGAATGTGTTTCCGTGCGCAGGTTTTTAAGTGCCAGTTGAGGAGTTCTTCACCAGATTTGGGATTTCCA